TCTCAAAAAAATAAAAATAAATAAAAAAAAATGACAATAGAGAAATGCCAAGGTACTTACAAAGTTTACCCCATTAGACTAACATCAGATCTCTCAACTGAAACAATGCAGGGAAGGAAAGAATGTGAAGACAATATTTAAAACTCTGAAATTTAAAAAAAAACATTTCAGGCAAGAGTGTTATACCTGGCAAGATTATCCTTCAAATGGAAGGAAAAATAAAGTTTCCCCCAGATAAACAAATGCTGTAAGGATTTATCAAACTAGACCGGCTCTCTAGAAATACTTCAGGGAATACTCTACTGCAAAAACTAAAGGGAGATACATAGAAGTAAAAGAACACAAAACATTTAGAAGGAAAGAAAAACACAGCAAAATGACAATGATAAGTGCACACATATCAATAACGCTGAATTTCAATGGATTGAATTCGCAAATTGAAAAGCACAGATTGGCTCAGTGGATAGCGAGCTGGGACCTTCATATATCGCTTACAAGAGACACACTTCATTCGAAGGACAGATAGACTAAATATTCTGGAACACAATACCATCAGTCTGTTGATGGTATTGCTCAACTTTGAATTCAGTTTTCAGTAATGAAAAACAACAGCAGTTTTTTGAATAAATGAACTGAAGGATGACCACTATAATGGATGAAAATCACCTTATTACGGAGGTATATAATACACGTTTAGTTTTTCAGAAAGGCTAACAATTTTTTGAACTGTTAAATTTTTGCATACTTCTGACAGCCCTATCTATTTTTTCCCTTGACTTAACAAAAGCATTAAGCATGACTGTCACAACTGTTATATTTCACGGTAAACCATAAATATGATTTAAAAAACAAAAATATAAAATCAATGAGAGTTTCATAAGTGAAAATGTCTGTGGCCTTACAAGAACGCACAATCCCTTCCTAATGACATAGTTTTGTACAGTTTTACCTAACTCGGACTGGACCAGTGGTTGATACCACAGACCTTCAGATTAGCAACTCATCACTCACAGTCTCCTACAGGAAAATGACAGATTCTTTTGCTTTGGCTATGTTAATGTTATCTTTGTTTTCAAAAAAATATATTCTTTAATTTGTGAGATGTTTTGCTGATTGTTAATCACTTTGTTTTCTTTAGAACTGCATTTCACAATAAAGAACGTGATTGATGATTCAATATATACTTCCAAAATAACCAGCAGAGTAAATTTCAAACAGTGCACAACATAATGCAATGCTCTATGTTGAAGATGGAGAATACGTTCATATCCTCGATTTATTACTCACCATTACATACTTTAAGAAAGATGCAGTGGTTATCAGATGGCACAGTAATTATGTGGCTGGACTCCCACATGGCCAACTGCAGTTCGAGTCCTGGACCTGGTGGCTTGACAATCATGCCAGGCACATGTGTGTGCATGCCCAGATCATGAAGACAGAATGAAGGAGAAGGGATACTGGTGTGGCCATCCCCCCAGGGGTGATTTCCCACTTTCCCTCTCACTGTCTCTGTCTCTTTCTCCAGCAAGCACACACTCCTTAAGGCAAAAACCTATGGGGAGGAAAAGATCCATAGCTGTTAAAGATATATAATGATTATACATAAATCCAAAATTATAATAAAATAAATTTAAAAAAATTATTCAACAGTATGAACTCTATGACCTTTACCAAAGAGGAACTACATTTTCCCTCAAAAGTATGATATTTCAATCTGTATGTTTTATTGATTTTTAATCTCTGTTATTTATTGTCATTTTCTTTCTTCAAATAAGAAATTATACAAATTTCAATTCTCAATTTATATTTCAGATTTATGAAAAGTTTCTATTTCATTGAGTTACAGCTCAGCCATTTTTATATGAATTGAAGGTTTTTCTTTTTCTTTTTTTTTTGGAAAGGTTCTTACTATAGGGCACGTGCACTCGCCAGACAGACAGAAAGAGACAGAGAGACAGAAAGCGAGAAATCACCCCCCCAGGGGGGATGGCCACACCACAATCCCTTCTCCTCCATTCTCCTCTCAGGATCTTGGGCACGCATGCACACACGCCCGGAATGAGTTTTAACACCGGGTCCGGGACTCGAATCGCGGCTGACTACATGGGAGTCCAGTGACATAGGCATTACTCTAACTGCTGGTCTCTGAATAGAAGTTTTTATGATGAACAGAAGTGTAAAGCCTAAACTTACTGACCATACATTTTAGGACCAATAAATATCACTGTCAGAGATGAAAACTACTAAGATAAGGAACTTTAAAGCAAATAAGACATCAACAAAAAACAAACACATCATAATGTCATTTTTCTTGTCAAGTTCTGGAAAAGTCCACTACTCACAGACAGCTATCTGAAAATTCAATGTTGTGTTGTTTGAGTAAATATTCAAGTAACTTTCCATTTGAATGGATGAAGTACAGCTGAATCCTCTGGACAACTTCTGCCCTATATGTGCTACTGGCTGTAAAGGGCTCTCCACAATAGATACAATCCCCTTGCAAATCGATTGGGCTTGGGGCCATTTGTGCCCAGGATTTTGCTCCCACTGTCTCATTCAGTTCTCATGCAAACGGAGGGGTATTTACTGCTGCCCTGTTTTATGACTTGGGAAACTGAAGCTGGAGAACAATCGCTCGCATTCTCATAAACAGTAGAGGGTGAAGCCAGCGCTCCAGGTCTGCCCGACTCCAAAGCCAAGGTGCTTTCACAAGACCCTTGGACCATTAGAAAAGGAAACATGTCCACCCTATTGAGTCATCACAGCAGTGACCTGTAATAATAAACTGTGCCCTAGTGCTGAACACTGTACTTACATTATAATATACATTGAGTAAAAGCAGTGAAGCCTCCATGCAGACAGAGCCAAACCCTGTAACAATATCCACACAATGTGCTTTTTCAGTATAAGCATTTGTTTTCAAATCACTTAACATTTCTCCATCAAATCCTCACCAAATTTGTCTGTTTTCTAAACAGTTTTATTATTCTTCCAAATTTATCATTTCTCACCCTCCCTTTTCACTTTGAAATACCACATTCTTCTCATACCCACTGTGACAATAAGTTTTGTTCCTCTACTGAAGTCTTTCTTAGAGTAATTCCACAGTGATTCAACCCCTAACAAAAACTTTAGACTAGTCTAGTTTCCCTGACCTCTTTAAATTCTGTATAGGAAAGACTGTCTGAGATTCCCAAGAGTCCAGGATTTCAGTCCTGGTTCATTTTGCACAGAACAAGTTCTGTGGATGGGAAAATCAAATAAACTCAAGAAGTTATGGTGCTCTATTTATCCAAAAACAATGATGTTAAAGTAAACGAGTGTAACATTAGCATTGAGATAAGACCAAAATGAAGCAAGCTATGAAAAAAGAAACTCAATTTCAAATGATGGGAAAAAAATGTCTGAAATTATTATCATCATTATCTTTGTTGTTATTAACAATCTGCTATACTTAGGTGTTCTAACAAGGCATTTGAAAGTCAAACCTTCTCCGTAAGAAAGTGGCCAACTCAATCATAGGGACAAGTCTGGGGGTTGAATATTATACCCCAGAATTTAATCAGGAAAATTGAACCAGAACAGAAGATAAAAGTACACGAGACTGATAGGTTTATGCACCTACCATTTGAACAGAATCCTAACCTGTTTCCTGGCTTTAAGTAAAGTTCCTTGGTATTTCTTTGATTTAAGTTAAAACTGGTTTTCTTAATAGTAATGAGTGAACTCATTATTGAAAGCAGTTAGATTATGTAAGAAATTGTGTAATCAATACAAGGTGGGTGGGAAAGGAATGGAAGATAACTGTAGACACCAGAGATAGTGTGAGAAGAGGGTGGGAAAGGACAGAGGGTGAGAAAGAGGGGTAAAAATAATTCTAGGAACTAGAAATGGAAATTTTGTATAATATGAATGATTAAGTCACTATGCAGTATATACTGGACTTGTGTCCATGGAGATGTATATATCAGCTGTGTTTGCTATGAAAATACTTAGATTAATTAAGGTCTATAGTAATTCAATACAATGTTGGGGGAAAACAGTATAGAAAGCAAACATAAATACCAGAGACA